AGCAAGCAAGGTTGTATCATCTGCATATTGCAGGTTGTTAATGAGTCTTCCTCCAATCCTGATGCTGCGTTTTTCTTCATAGAACCCAGCTTCAGTTGAAGAGGTTAGCTAAATCCCAGAAAAGGTGTCACATATCAGAGTGAAGGGTTCTCCTGACTCACACAGCTGCATGTTCAAATTATTCCAAGATCGGCAGTTCAGATGAGAGGTTCCTGGCTGCTGAAATGAATGAATCCAAGGTCAAGAAGTAAAATGCCAGGATGCTAGTAACTCCTCAAATCGGCAAGTAATAAGGCAGACAGTTTACTCAAATCCTAAGAACTGAAATTCAGATAACCAAGCAGAAACAGGCACCAGACAGAGAAAAAGAAAGTAAACTCTGCTGGTCAGATATCCATGTTTATGCGTTCCATTTCATTTTTGACAACTTCCAATTTTCCCACATCCATATTTTGTACATTCCATGTTCCAATTTTCAATGGATGTTTACAGCTGTTTCTCTTCATTTTGAGTTGTGCCCCATAAGCAAATGAAGGTCCCATGGGCTTTTCTTCTATGGGCTTTACTCCAATCATGTTATCACAGTCAACTCTACTTTGAGGAGACAGCTCTCCCCCAGTCGAATTTTGAGTGCCTTCAAACATGAGGGGCTCATTTTCTGGCACTATATCTGATAGTTTTTCTCTGCTATTCATACGGTTTTCAGTGACTAAAGATTCAGAAGCAGTTTCTCACTCTTTCTTTCTAATTTGTCTTTGTTTGGAAGCTCATATGAAATCTGTCCACCATAGGTGGCCCTGCTGGTATTTAAAACACCGGTGGCATAACTTTCTGAATAATAGCAACTCACAAGCCACCACAGTATGACAAACTGACAAAGAACTATCACACATAGTATTCCATTATTCATCTGTTGATGGACATTTAGTTTTTTATCATCTTTGTGGTATTCTGAATAGTGCTGCACTGATGTGTGTATCCTATATCTATTCTTGTCATAATTATGATAAACACCTAGTCGTCAGAGTATTTATATGTTTTTTTATGAATCATCGTATATTTTTTACCAAGTTACAAGACCACCAACTGTATATGAGAGTTCCTTTTCCCTTGCTCTCCTTTCACCCAACCTGATGAAAAGAAGGAACGACTCTCCTGGAACTGTGACATTTTTCTGTGAGAACCCCATTCTTCTCACTACTCTATACAGAAAGATGATTCTGACTTACATCAGAATTGTTTTTGTACTTATGGGAAATGTTCTCTCCATAATCCTGCAAATTGACCTTTTTCCTCTTCTGTTTCAGTCTCAAAACCTCCTTCTCAAAGTAAATTACTTGTTTGTAGAAAAAACTTTATTCAAAAGGAGACACTAAAAAGGTTTGGGTAAAAGGACTAAGACTATAGACAATACTCCTATGAATCCAGTGATTTAATTAATGTCACTCCTCTGTATGGATTCCACTAGAGATGTGAAAGAGGAACAGCTAAGGAAGATGAGTAAGCATAAAATAAAAACTCACATTCTTTCTTTTCAATAAGTCAATGTGAAGAAAACAAAAACAAAAACAAAAAGTCAGAAAAAGATTACCAATTTGAAATACGTTGGTGTTCTTAAGTCATGTGTGCTAGTGAGTTCGTTCTGACAAATGGTGACTATGAAAGTGGCTTCCAAAGATCTTAAATCTTCTGTAAGAGATAAGAGCTTGATCTTTCTTCATGAAGAGCTACAGAGTTCAAACAACCAAACTTTGGAACACAGTCTATCACTTAACTTATGAAGCCACTGCATTCCCTAAATTTGCTATATTTATTCAATGACTATTTATTTGGTTACATAAGTAAAAATTGAAAGAATTTATGATAGAAGTTAAAATAAAGGCAAACAAATATATTTTCTGAAGCAACTGCAAGAATATGTAAAAGTGAAAGGATTGCAAAATATATGTATATTGGCAAGAATTGGAACACAATACTAGTTAAATTTTAGTGAGTACTTACTTTTCAGCAAGTATTATATTAAGTGCTTACAGGTTCACTTCCCAAGCAAATTACTATCCAGCTGACATTGCAGCTCAAACCATTTGGTAAGGTGGAGGGTCAGAGAAAAAGAGGAAGACCCCCAACAAGCTGGATTGGTCAAGTGGCAGCATTAATGGGCTCAAGCATGGCAACAGTAGTGAGGTTGGCCCAGGATCGGGCAGTGTTTTGTTCTGCTGTGCATAAGGTTGCTATGGGTTGGTACTGACTCAATGGCACCTAACAACAACAAAAACATATTTATCTGTGGATTCCTAGTGTGGGTTAATGCATCAGACTGCAAAGCTATTTGAACTGCAAGGCTGGCTGTTCAAGCTCACCAGCTGCTCTTCAAAAATCCTATACAGGGTTGTTCTGGGTCAGAACCTAGCTGTAGGTACTTAACAACAACAACAACATATTCACGTGTCTTTTGCACTTTTGTATTTTAAAAATATGATTGGAAATAGACCCATCAGCATATGTCAGGTTTAAACTCCTCTATATAGGCCATTTGTTGAATTAACATAATGTTCATTCTTTTTCATACTAGTAATATTCATGGGTTCCAAGAATTAGGATGTGGAAATACAACTATAGAAACCACCACCAAGAAAAAAAGAAGCCACCACCTAACCCAATACAAAACACATGTTTTCTAATGATTGTGTCAAAAAGTCTCTTCACATTATGTACAGGAAGGAAGGTAGGATATTTCCCTATGAGTATCATGTGTGGTGTTACATCCATGTCTTCTACAGCAATCTAAAGACCATGAGGAAAATGAATTCTAAAATGAAGTCACTGTATGCATGACTAGTGTCCTGTTTTTCTGCATTCCCACCTATAAAGTCATTCTAATAAAAGAAAGTTCACTTTAATGTTTGAGTAAATTATTATTTGAGAGTTTTTAAAGTATTAACACTAAAGGTTTTTTTACACAGATGATGTCCAAACATCTCTCAACAACCAAAAAATCACTGAGAAAAATGCAATTATGTTATTTGGTGATGATGAAACTGAGTGCAGTTAATTCAAATGTTGATCCTCAAGGATATTTAGGAGTGGCAATTCTTTACATTAATGGCTTTTCACAATGGCAAAATCATTTGAAAAAGGAATCCTACCAATGAGTTCTCTCAAGCTTACCTTTATGTCTGTATTTCTCAGACTATAGATAAAAGGATTCATCATTTGAGGGACCACACTGTACATGACTGAGGCTACTGCTGTGTTTATGGAAGAGTGTGAAAACATAGAACTGATGTACACACCAAAAGATGTCCCATAGAATAAAAAAACAACTGAGAGGTGAGACCCACAGGTAGAAAAAGCTTTATACTTTCCACTAGTTGATGGTATTCTCAAAACAGAGGAAATAATCTGAGTGTAAGAGAATATGATCCCAGAGAAAGGAACAACACCCAATATGCAACCAAAAAAATATATGAAGATGTTATTGATGAAGGTACTGGAACAGGCAAGCTTGAGGATCTGAGCAAGTTCACAGAAGAACTGACGGATTTTCACTTCTGTGCAGAAGGACAGATGCAAAACCATCAGAGTGTGGACAAAGGCATCCACCATACTAATGAATAAAGAAAACAGAATCATCAGACCACAGAAGCAGGGATTCATGATGACCATATACCTCAGTGGGTGACAAATGGCCACATAGCGGTCATAAGACATTGCTGAAAGAAGACAAATTTCGAAACCATTAAAAACCAGGACAAAGAAAATCTGGCAAAGGCAGCCTGTATAAGTGATACTCTTATTCTGTGTCTGGATGTTCACCAGCATATTTGGGATGGTAGTTGTGCTTAAACAGATGTCAGTAATGGACAGTATGGAGATAAAGAAATACATTGGAGTATATAAGTGGGAGTCAGAACTGACAGCCAGAATAATGAGCAGGTTTCCAAGCACAGTGACCAGATACATGATGAGGAACAACATAAAGAGAAGGCGCTGCAGTTCTGCATCCTCTGTCAGTCCCAGGAGAAGGAATTTGGAATCATCTGTGAAGTTTCTGGATTGTATATCGCTGATGAATCTGATGGAAATATGGGGTGAAAATACAATAAAATTGTGATTTCTGGATCACTGGCAACAGCAGCAGCATTGTAGTCAGATATTGTCTTAGGGAAGGAACAAGAGAAATTGAGGTGCATACAGAAAGTGTACCTTGTGTATGCACATTATTTGATTTTTTTATAAAAGAAAATAAAGACATCTAAGCTTATGGTGCAGATTGTCAATCATTATGTATTCTTGAAAGAGTAGAGAAGGGCATTCTACTTTTTAGATTATCTGTGCTTATGCTACAGTGGAGTCGTAGTGTGGTGGTGTACGATAAGTATTGAACTGCTAACTACATGGTTGACAGTTTTGACCCTATATCCACTATTTAGAAATCCTATTGAGGGTCATGATAAGTCATAACTGACGCTACAGCAGTGAACAACAATAACATATATGTTTGATGCTCAGTTTGAATATTTAGTAGCTTTTAAAAAAAAGAAATAAATAGACTTGGTAAGCAGAATGTTGAATCAATTTGGGACTCTACTTCCTTCCCCAGAAATCAGAGGCAGGCAGTGAAGATAATGAAAATATGTACTAACAATCAAGAAGTTAAGAGAAATGAATCTGACAAACCCTTCTCTACCACCACCACCACAGAATGCATCTAAATATCAGTGAATTTTGCCACAGTAATCATCTTTGACAAGGGTTAGGTTATTATTCAACAACAAGAAATAAATCTTCTTTTTGATTTTAGAGATAGAGCAAAAGATTAGCAGAATGAGAACTCCTGAAGATATCTAAAGGAATTGACAGAGAAGCAAGCTTCCTATGGGAGTGTAGTCTCCAACATTTCCTGCATGTTCCTGTTGTAAAACACCTGCTCTCCTCTTCAAACATTAACTAGTGGATATTTGGTTACCTGTCTGGCATCCTTGAGTAGTGATGGCTGATATCTGCTCTTTATCAGAAGACTGAAGGTCTGTCTTCTGGAATGACAGTTGGTCTCTGTAAAGCAGTAGGATCCTGGTCATAAAAGGTAATCTCTGGATAAGATGGTCATATATTCTACCTCCCTGAAGGGGAAGAGTCCTTAAGTGAAATGTCACTGGCTGATTGCTTCAGGTGTCTATATCCCTGGAGACTCAAAATCCAAAGTTCCTAATGAGCCCAACACACTGATCATCATTCAGACCCCAGGGTAGTAAACATTTCTGGTTCACTGATCTTTTGAGACCAGCCAATGCCATTTACTGCTGTCCACCAGTTTCTTCTCTGTGTCACATATCTTGTACATGTGAAGAGACTGTCATTTTCTTTTCTGATTATTGTGTTTTTTGTTTACATTTTTTATTTGCATTTTTTAGAAACAGCCCCAAAACATCTGTATATAATCACCATTATCCAGAAATTGAAATATCCATTATGGATGTATAACATAAATTATGAATACTTATAAAATATATTTATGAATATTTGTTAAGAAACATTAAAAATGATGACTCTGTAGTGTTCTAAGACTCATGGGCTGTTTTCTGAGCCTTCATCTCTAAAATGTAAATTTTATGAAACCTATTCTATTTATTGATTAATGCTGAATGTAATTAGTATAAAGAGACCTACATTTATTTCTTTAGAGTTTTATAAGTACCTTTTGTAATGTAAATACATGACAGTAACATACATTTTTCTTTATATTGTGAGAAAATGGGTTTAAATCATGACATCTGATTTTTCATACAGTTGTGTGCAATTCTAGTATTACCTGAAAGATAAGTGCTTAATCAATACTTGCAGAAAATTTTATTAGATATTAAGTAAACTTAAATAGATAAAAATTGTTTTTCTTCTGAAAATTCACTCTAGAATTTTTCATCATTTTTTTCCAGTATTTTCATGTGTTTATCAATTTATTTTACTACTTTTTCTGCATGTACAGACATTCTATATTTGTACATGCAGTAATAGATGCTCTGTTTATTCTGGCCTTCTCTCCTGTCCCTGACCTTGGTGTTTCTCTCTTCAGGACACCCTGTAGAGAAACACCATGTGTCCCAGTCACTCCTTCTTACCTCTTCCTTTAACTGAACACACCAAAATTATGGGAACCAATATCTCAACAACAGAAAAAGAGACCCCACTGGGGTGTCTCTTGTTCAATTTCAAAATCTTCTTTTACTATCTGAAATCAAGCTGAAATGCCTCTTTACACTTTGCAAGCAACTTTGGCCCTAATACCCCCCTAGACAACCAAAACCACTGACCTGAAAATGGCACCTTCAATTATGGAGTTCTCAGAGATCTAGACAAGTTCCCCCAAAGGAACGGAAAGTGGTCGGAGGTCCCCTATCCATGCCTTTTTCTATCTTCAGTCAAGGCCATCTTTATGCTCCAAATGTTCCATTTACCAAATACTTCTCAATGAAAAACTCCCAAATCCCCCAAATAATGAAGACTCCGAAACACCCCCAGAAACCTCTTTTGACCCCGCAGATGATTCCCACTTTATTGCCACCCCCACTCCCCTTGAGCCTTTCCCATCAACTCCACCTCCTCCACTAGATTCCCTAACTTCACCCCCATCTCTACCCCAACCCTCTGCATCCCCAAATTCCATGAGCCAGAACAAATCCCCTGGCCCAAGACCAAGATAAAAAAAGATCCCTAACCCATTTTCCTCTCAGAAAAGTTGCCAGCTATGAGGGCCCCACCTATATCTTTGTCCTTTTCTCCTCTGATCTCTCTCAAATTGAGAATAGGCTAGGATCTTCCAGTGAAAATCCAGCAAAATTTAGAAAATAATTTCTCTCACAGACTTTCTTCCTAACCTGGCAGCATATCTGCTGGGAGCAGCCGATGAGTGTAGAGGACAGCTTCGATTTAATGCTTGACACAGTCCAGTGAATAATAGAGTAGTCTGACGAAACAGATAGCTCTCAGAAGTTGCTTTCTACCTTCTCTATAGAATAATCTTAATTTTACTTATAAATATATATATAATTTAGTAATATTCTCAACTTTCACTATGAGTTCTACAAACCTTAGGAAAAACTAGCTTAAGCAGCAATTGCTTTCAGCCTTGGTGGATTGAATACAAAGAGAAACTGTATAAATTACTCCCTTTCCTTAGAAAACCTGAGTAACTGCATTTGTGGGCCACAAAAGCAGATAGCATTTAGAGTCAAGCTGACCTACCCCATAAACCTCACCACAATCAGTAGCTAGAATTCACAAACCCTTACATACAAACACCTGCGTAAACAAGCAGACAATAATGAACTTAAGTGAAAGATAGTTTTGATTCAATAATCTATACTTCCTGTAGCAATTAGCCAAGTTGGGCTTTATGCCATATAACTTTCAAGCAATTTAATGAATACTTTAGAAAAATAAATAAGTAGATGTTAGTTTTACCTTTATTATAAAAATAATAATACATTATGTAGGACAGAAAGTTGATAATCAGTAAGAATAATGAAGTAGTGCAAGCATTAATGATTAGTGGAAACTTATGTTACTAAGAAAGTGTAATCAGTAGTCTGATAAGTAGCAATGATTTGTGTATGGTTTGA